CACACACACACACACACACACACACACACACACACACACACAAATAAAAAACCAACTGCATGTTAGCTGTGTTATCTTTGGCACTTTTATTAATTTAACAGCAACAATGAGCCACTAAATATCCAGAAAGCCTAGAAAATACATAGGACATTCTATTTAAAAAAAATAAAAGGACATCTGGCTCCTTGGAATGAAAGTAGGAGAAAATAGTGGCTGGAGATTTTTGCCAAGTCCTGTAAAGCCGTGGAAAGCCAATCAGCTCACCCYCTTTAGTGAGTCCCCAAAGATGGCAACTGTTATTGTACGAGCGAGCTGAACTAACACTTTGTAAAAGCCTCACCCATGTTGCTGAGCTGGCCTCYGATTCCATTCATTACACAAAACCCCAGACCAAAGCAAATATATGAAATCCACAGTGTCTCTCTTTATCCCATTTCCACAGGCTGACTCCTCCGGCTGCCTCGTCCTGAACTCGCTGGTCCGGTGGGGAAGAGAAAAAACATGACCTGCCAGCTGCCACGGCTGCCTCTTATCACACGCTGTGCGTTCCCAGCATTGGTCTGAACACGATGGCTCGGTGATAATATGATCTGATAAGTGTTTGTGTCAAACAYCTGTAACCCAAAGGTGAGCTCCGGCTGGGCCCTTAACGCAGATGCAGAGATGTAGAAAACCTGCTGTAAGTGGGGAAGCATGAGCGTGACTGACACGCTCACTGACACGTTTCATCTGTCTGCCTGCATCTCTGACATCACACACAGGCTTTTTTTGGTCCTTTACACCATTTTATAGAGCTTTAAGCAAGATTTGTTCTGCTTTTATGTTTCAGTCAAACAAAAGTGTTTGTACAGCTGTATAAATCAATGTGTTTTAATTATCTGTCACCAAAAGGCAAATGGGGACAGGAATGTATTTGCCAATTGTATGTCTTACATATATTTATTAACTTTTTAACTAGAGTCAACAGAAATTAAAATAGCTGCCACAGCCAAAAATGACTACAGKTCAGACAATTTTACAAACATGGAAGTTAAATTTAATGTAACTGAGGTCGGCCCATGCCAACATGGTGCCCTAGACAAGATTTCAGGTGGCACCTCTTGTGCAATTTTCTAAATCTTGCTGCTAATTTCCATACATTCACATACCAAATTAAATAGTTTTTTGTCTTTAATATTATTTTTTATCTTTAGAAACCAGGTGGTCCAATTAAAATAATTATCATGATTCATTGAAAAAGGAAAACTAGAAGTCTACCTCATAACATCTGCTAACATCATGAGGAACACCTGTTTATGTTAACGAGCAGCTGTGGAATAAAGCAGTTCTAGGGGGGTCCAGGAGTATACTCCTCCAGAAAACTTTGTAAAGTGTACTCAAAACTTTGCATTTTACAGCCATTTGAAGAGCATTTTACAAAATTCGTGGGATTAATAAAACATAAAAATCAGTATTTTATGAAGGTCGAACACTGAAAAACAGACTTTAACATGAATTTTTATCAGAAATCATAACTGAAACTTACATTATCCTTACTTTGTTTTCTATTTATACACAGAGCACCAGTACTTGTATGACTGCATCATATGATACTTCTACACATTCTCACTCCCGACTCGTCACATATTGACGCTTTTCCAAGGTTCCCTCTACATCCGATTTTGACGCGCCGGGTGCCCCCCTCGCGTCAGTCCTTGACGCCCGCGGCTTTTCCGGGTTGCGCCACCAGGGGTCTTTGGGTCGGGGGTCTGAGGTTAACATGAGGGATCAGGATTAATGGTTAA